ACAGCTTTATGTTGGGACTGCTGGTTTGGTGAGATGATAATCTGAAGCCTGCCTGGATCAGGAGAGGGCAGATAATGCACTGAGTACTTCACTAATTCCATGGCTTTCTTCTAATCTCTCCTAAACACCACAGGCAGCAGTAGCAGCCCTTGCTAACATCTAGGTAGAGGCACAGCTTCCATAATTATTGTTTCAAGGTTCAGCAGTCTGGAAACATGCATATTTTTCAGCACATTTATTGACTTCATCCATTTTAAGGCAACCGTAAATATGTTTCAAAGTGTAAAAGTTGTGAGGATATGGAAAGGGAAGGTGAGGGCAACCAATCAGAACCAGGCACAGCTGGCTTCTAGACAACCAGCCAATCAGAATGCTAGAAAGAGAGCTATCTTGTATATTATTTTATTTCCCCAAGGCATGCTGGGGTTAAAGGCAGCCCAAGAGAGAAGGCATCAGTCATATAATTAAAATATATGGAAATGAGTTTTTTAAAAATAAGGTGCAGCAGGGCCAAATTAGAATAAAGGCCCTTAAGACAAAGATAATTTTGTTTAGACCTGGTAAAGAATAATATTATGAACACGATGACTGAAGCTTTTCTTAATTATTTCTGGTGTTAAAGAAAAAAATCAGTGGAAAAGGCTAGTCCATGTTACTTTCCTCTTCCTTTAAAAAATAATAATAATAATGTGAATAAAATAACATAATCACATTATTGAAGCCCCAGAAATATTTAATAATGTGGTTTCTACCAGAGGGGTTCGATCTGACAGGATTGGCATGCTCCATGTTCCTTCTATTAAAGAAGGCTATCGATCAGGTTCCAGAAAGTATGCCTTCTCCGATGCAGCACCTGCCTTCTGGAAGAAAGTTCCCCCTGAGCTCTGGTTGCTACCACCCTGTTGGCACTCTGAAGAGCCATACAGGCCAGGCTGTTCTCCCAGGCTCTGGGCTAGCATGATTTCTGCCCCCTTGTCAATTGCTGGTGGGATCTTCTGGGGTTTGCTGACTTCACAGTTTCCTCTCCTTGTTTTGTCCAAGTTCTGATTTTGTTGTTCTTTATTATGTGGATTTTATATTGTTTTGGTGTATTGTGATCTGCCCAGGGCTGTTTAGAATTGGGAAGCATCAAATGGAACAACATAATACATACGTAATAAATGTCTTATTATACACTCAAATGATCTTCACACATAAGTAGCATACATTTCTCACTGCTACTTTTTTCAAAACATTTCAGGCACAATTACAGAGGGAGGCACGCACGCTCCAACAGTTATTCACAGATTTCTTGTCCTAATGAGAAAGTGCATAATTCAATGCCCCTGGGGGGGATAAGTAGGATATACACAAATATTATTGTTTCAAAACTCTGAGACATAGGTTGTTCACTTGCAAATGTTGTTTGTCCTATTGCATCCTCTGGTGTTCCTTCTGGAACTGCCTTTGCAGTATCTTCTGATGCTTTCTATCATTTATTTTCCATAAGAAATAAATATTTCAATGAGTAAACCGTACAATAACAGAATGCACCTTTTGCACCTTCTGGGTTGGACATAGAAAAAAGTAAAGTAATGATCTTTGCTTTCCAGCTCTCATGGGTTTAAATTAGAGGAACACCAAAACTACCTAAATTTGGGCATTAGGTAAAAAAAAAATTGGGATTACTTTAACCATGGACTAACACAGAGAAAACAGATGTATTCTCGCTTACTGGAAATACTTGCAGACATTCATTAAGAAGAGGTTGGACAACGATTTGTCTGAAATGGGATTGGTTTTCCTGTCTGAGCATGGGGTTGGACTAGAAGACCTCCAAAGTCCCTTCTGACTGTGTTATTCTGTAGATTTTCTATAAGGACCAAAATATGTCCCCCCACTACCAACTCTGTGATTTAGAAACATGAACCTTGTGGAATAAACTCTGTAACCAGAGTATATAAGACAACAGAATTCACTTGCAAAAGGTGCTCTATCACCCCAGGACAGATGTCCTTGTAGTGGAGGTTATCCAGACAATATCCATTTGTTGTGCTGCAGTACCACCTCTATGGTGGCCAAGGCTGAAACTGCAGCTTCTCAGTCCACTCACGGTTCAGCTGCTAGCAGCTGGATTTTGAATTAATTTCCAGTTTATAAGTGGTCTTCAAGAACAGACTCAATATATTGCAGAAACACATCTGGTAGCTAAATCAACTGTTACCAAAAATATACACTTTCCCATTGTCCAGTGGTTGTACTACATTAAAAGCATTAAATCTTTACAGATGATTTATCAATACAAACAATTCTTGCTAGATTGCCTATGAAAGAGCAGGCATAGCAGGCAGCACATCAATCATACAGAGAACCAGTTTCATGAAGTGGTTAAGGAACTGGGCTACAACCAGTAGATTTTATTTATTTCTTTATCAAATGTATTTGCCATCCATCTTGTGCTTCAAAGTGACTCTGAGTGGCTTGAATCACAAGACTGAGAGTTCAAGGCCTCCCTTAGGTAGGAAAGCCAGCTGGGTGACTTTGAGCCATTCACTCTCTCTCAGTCCAACCCACTTCACAGGGTTGTTGTTGCAGGGAAAATGGAGGCAGAAGTATTAGATATGTTCATTCCCTTGAGTTATATACAAAAAAAGATAATAATACAGTAAGATTTGCCATGTCACAGAGACTTCTAATGACAAAGCAGGGTCAATGAACAGCTGTATTCAAGCAACACATTTAAAGACGTTCCTGAATTAACCTGTTATCTGGGCCATGAATCAAATTAATTAAACAGGCTAGACTCACATGACATATCAATGTGCTGATGCATAATTTGAGGGTGATTTTAAGAGAGGGACATGCTTTGGCTTGGTGTGCCACGGCCTTATAAGAGTAAGGTATTGGAAGAAACGTCCCTCTGGTTCAGTTTCAAGTGAGAAGAAAGACACTGGAAACATGGTGACTGCTTGGAAAGATGGTTTAATGGTGGATAGGACCACATGGGTCCTGACCAAAAAGAAGCACATGGGTAAGAGTGGGAGAGAGATTTATAACCTCTGTTGGGCTTTGAACTTGTTTCCTGTTCCTGTGGCAAGAAATGTAACCTGATTGGTTGTCAGACTCCCATGGGGCCACGTAAGGGTAGCTTGGCTGAATCTTGCTGGGTGATGTAATCTTCCCGAGCGCCATGTGGCGAGATGGGTAGAGGGCGAATCCTATCATGTCCTGAGGGCTAATCCTATCATGTCCATAATCCCATCACCCTGGATCTGAAAGGGGGCGGAGGGGCAGGGAGCTGCAGGAAGCTGCTTTGTCTTTAAAAACATGTTTCCCCTTTTCTCATCCAGAGAAATATAATATCCTGCTTTTTAAATATTTTCTATAATATTTCATTCTTCTAGGAGGAGTGGGTGCTAACTTTCTACAAAGGAAAAAGGATTAATCTTTAATATCAACATTTTGTTTTTATAAACACATCCCTGTATTTATCTGCCAAACACCAGCTGTTGTAAAAAAAAAAAACAGCTTTGAAATGTTAGGTGGGCAGTTTATAAGAATGCATTTTTGTGCTATATTTGAGGATTTTTTAATTATTTGGTTTGCCTGATAAATCTTGAACTATGTGTGTGTGTGGAGGGGGGGATGCAAAGTCTTTAACCCTTGCTGTTAGATACAGACAGACAGACAGACAGACAGACAGATAGATAGATAGATAGATAGATAGATAGATAGATAGATAGATAGATAGATACAGATAGAGATAGATAGATAGATAGATAGATAGATACAGATAGATAGATAGATAGATAGATAGATAGATAGATAGATAGATAGATAGATAGATAGATAGATAATCAGAGTTGGAAGGGATCTTGTAGGTCATCTAGTCCACCCACCCACCCCCGCCCAAGCGGGAGACCCTACACCATTTCTGGCAAATGGCAGTCCAATCTCTTCTTGAAAGTCTCAAGTGATGGCGCTCCCACAACTTCCGAGGGCAAGCTGTTCCTTTGGTTTACTTAGGTCAGCGGTCCTCAAACACTGAATGCCAGAAGCAATATATCTACTGAGAATCAGCGCAGTAGGCAGCATAAATTACACGAAGAGGTAAATATCTTACTACTATTGCTTTCCAACTCAACTAGAAGCATGCAGGTGGTAACTTATATTACAAAACACGTTACCCAGGTGGTCTCTGAGGGAATCGCTGCGTTAGATAACCAGAACCTCCATTTCCAAAGGCATTCTACCCGTCGCAACGCTCCGATGCTATCGATTTTCCGTCCTGCGTAGCGATTTCTCCATCTTCAACTCAGCCTCCCTAGAAAATAAACTCCCGCTTCATAAGATGAACCGCCAGCGCGTCTATTTATTTATTTTTTATAAATATCAAAATCAAGCACACCTATCTTGTTTCTGCCTAGTGCGGCTCATCTGTTTTTCATTTCTACGCAGCCAATCTGGATCTGCAAACAAAACCCCTTTTGAAATTAAAATGACAGCTTAGCACTGATGATGTTACCTAGTATGGGTAATGAAACGTCTCCAAGAAAACAATCAAACACAGAGAGCACCAAGGAACCCTCATTTCAACCCTGAGCTACAAATATTCTCCTTTATTGGTGCCCTTTAAAAAAAACCTAGGTGACTCTTCCCTTTTCTTATCTCTATGCCGCAAGTTTCCCTCAGCCAAAATTGACACCATCTCTGCCGTCAAAAGACGAGTCTTGATCGCCTTTTGCGACATTCTTAGACGCTCGCGCCCGTTAGGTCTAGGCGGCTGTGATTTTTGCGACTCTGCCACAAAATGAGGCCAGACCTCTGTTGCTGTAAGAGACCTCTCCTCCCGTGCTCAGGTTTGCGGTGTTGCCGAAAAGCGATGCCATCCCTTAATCAGGCGACAGGGGGCCATCTTTCGCCGTGCCGCTCGGGCCCTGGACCCCACTCTCCCGCTCTGATTTACGACAGGCTCGTAAACCGGGCGAGCGGACTTTGCGACGTTTGGGCGGAAGTGTGTCCTGAGGGAAGAAGACACGAAAGAGAAAGAGCCGTCTCGGCCCTTCCTGATCTGTGACAGGAGTTCGCCTGAAGGGAGAGAGCCGGAGGGCAAAAGGCCGGTCGAAGGCTTCATGGGGAACGTGGGGAGCCATAGCGAGGGCGAGGAAGAAGAGGAGGAGGCGGCAGCGGAAGGAGGGGGAGGAGGAGGAACGGCGAGCATCGTCACCTGGAGCAATAGTAACGGCAACTGGGCCGCTGCCACCAGCGAGTCACCTCCGCCGGGAGCTATGGAGGCCACCTTCCCGGGCCTAGCTTCCCCTCCGCCGGCTTCGTCGTCGTCTTCCTCGGCCGCCTCGACCCTCCCGCCGCCGGCGGTGTTGCTGGGACAGGCCCGGCTGCGCGAGGAAGCCGCCGCTCGCCTGCGCGAGGTGCCCTCGGCCGAGACGCTGCTCTCGCGCCACCACGCCGCCCTGGTGCGCTGGTTGGAGGAGCGCCTGGGCCGCGGGGAGCACGCCATCGGCCTCGAGCAGCTCTGCGAAGCCTTGGAGATCCGCGCTGGACCCGCGCAAGGGACGGCCACCGCCGCCGGGGCAGGAGGGGACGCCGCTGCCGCTGCAGCCGAGGAGCGAGTCAGGAGCGAAGAGGTGAGCGCTTGAGCGGGGAGAACGGAAAGCTCAGGGCGGCTGTCCGGCCGGGGTTCAACTGCATTACCTGCAGGGCGAAAGGGCTGGGACCGTAGCGCTTCTCTTCCGAGGGTGGCAAAAAGACTTGTTGCTCTCAGGCTTTCAAGGCATCTTTCCGTCGGGGCATCTTTCTGATGTATGAAGTGTAGGATACCAGAATCATTGAACAACCAAAATAACAGCGTTGGAAGGGACTTTGGAGGCCATCTAGTCCAACCCACGCCCAAGCAAGAAACCCTACTATACCATTTCGGACAGATGACAGTCCAGTCTTTTCTCGAAAGGCTCCAGTGAGGAAGCTCCCACAACTTCTGAAGGCAACTTCTGTTCCATTGATTGATTGTTATCACTGTCAGGAAATGTTTCCTTATTTCCAGGTTGACTCTCCTTGATCAGTTTCCATCCATTATTCCTTGTCTGGCCTACAGGTGCTTTGGAAAATAGCTTGACCCCCTCCTAACTTGACCCCCTCCTAACTTGGTTGGTGCATAAGCGCACCAATGTGCCTACCGTCCCTGTCCTATTGTTTCTCTTATTCTTCTTTTATTTTTCTTATATGTACCCATTTCATGTATTCACAACTATGTATACACTTATACTTATTATCTTGTAAACAATTGGCAAATCAAATAAATAAATAAAATAACTGGGGCAGCCCCTCAAATATTGGAAACCTGCTATCGGGTCTCCTCTGGTCCTTCTCTTCACTAGACTAGCCATGCCCAGTTCCTGTAACTGTTCTCCCAATGCAATAGCAATCAATCAGTGGAATAGTTTGCCTTCAGAAGTTGATGCCCCAACATTGTAGGCTTTTAAGAAGAGACTGGACTAACGTGAATAGTATAGGTCTCCTGCGAGAGCAGGGAGTTCAACTAGATGACCTCCAAGGCCCCTTCCAACTCTATTACTGTTACTGAACTGCAGTCCTATTTAGAGTTCACTTCCTGCCAAGTTCCACCATGCTCAGACCTAAGGAACAATGTTCAAAAGAACAGAATGAACTCACTTAAGGAAAAAAAATCAGCCTTTGGAGGGCGGGGCAGTGTTTTTGTTTTCCACTAAAGATGCATGCATAAACTCTGGGTTACATTTAGTACTAAGTGTATTATTGGAATTTCATCTTTGGCTTTCTCCTGAACCAATTAGCAAGTTTCAAGCATGTGCAGTTTTCACCAAGGATGCCATTAGGGAATACATTTGAAATAATGAGATATGGAATGCTTACAAACATATTTTAAACCATGTATCATTGAACTGTAGAGAAATGAAGACCATTGTCAGTATGATTTTAATGGAGCCCTTTCAGCATGTTTATTTCTTGATAAACACAGAGTATTAATCCTAATGTTTCCTTTTGGGGTATCAGTGTTATGCAGAAAAAAATAGTAAACAAAATAAATTAGAATCTACTGACAGTAAAATTTAGATTGAGTAATGATGACAAGAGATAAGCAAAAAAGGTAAGTAAAATCTAATGAAAAAATTTATACCTTTCCCCCCCTTACCTATCATTGTTTCCACTATGTCTGTAAACTGTCTCAAGAGTTATAATTTTGTTCTTTAATCCCACTGTATTCTACTTTTCATTTTTTTTCCTGACCAACTCTTCTGTATAACAACATGGTTAGAATTGTGTTCTTATATGGCATCATTTTTCTTCTTCTAGCAAGCATTCATTCACAGACCATATATTTCCCCTGACTATCAATTTTTCTTAAAATTTCTATCCATTTTCTCATGTTTAATAAATTTTCTACCAAATTAGGCAAATTTCATCTACTTATTCTATTTTTTGTGATTTATCTCTAAAGCCGGCAATTGTTTACTGCATTTTCTTTGTCCAACACATTTTTGTTATATTATTGTAGATCCATATTCCTTGTGGCATCATATAGTGCAATATTTCTAGCAACTTCTTTAGGTTCTTGGCCAACAACTTTATTGTTGCATATAAAAAGTACAAACATGCTTATGTAATCAATGACTCACACCAAATAGTTGTTGATCATGCTTGATATATTCTCTTTATGACAGAGACATGATCTGATAACAGGAGACTTTTGCACCAGTTCTTGTCACAGACAGATCATTCCTCATGACAAAGAGTTTAATGGGGGTTGCTAACCTCCACAGGGAGAAAGCATTGATTCAAGATGACCTGCCTGAAGTGCTTGATCAGGGGTCTTCAAACCTGACAGCTTTAAGACTTGTAGACTTCAACTCCCAGAATTCCTCCAGTCATGTTAGCTCAGGAATTCTGGCAGTTGAAGTCAACAAGTCTTAAACTTGCCAAGTTTGAAGACCCTTGTGCTTGATGAACGTACAGGGTTTTCAGGTGGGTCTGAGGAATTCAACAATTAGGGCAGCTCTATGGAATGTATTGATAGCCTCTTGAATATGAAGGCAATAAGTATATTACATAGGGCTGCTTCTTTCAGCATGACTGAGTTTTCTGTTGAGTTTTGGGAAGTTAAATAAGTAAAGAGATACTTGGAGCAAGCTTGGGGAAAATGATGTGAATACAGCTGAAAATAGGCATGAGCAAAAATCTGAGTCTACCTCATGTAATAAGGGCAACAAAGCAAGATTACATTTCTGTGAGATGGGCAGCACATAAATATGATTCAATAAAACATTTCTCACTCTTGTTTTCTCTGCAGAATTTGCCCATTGCAGAATTCAGAGTGTCCTAAGCTTCTCTAAAATTACAGCTAGAAGTAGCTGCTGGGAAACTGCAATTACCTGGCTAAGCATTTCAGAGATAAGGTTGCTCATATTTCTCTTTGAAGCTGGGCGGACAATATCTTGCTAGCTCCAATGATGTTATATCTAGCAGGGTTATGAAACATCTGCAAGAAAACAACCAAGCTCAGGGAGTACCAGGGATCCCACAGTATCTTAAAATATTGCAGAAATGATATATTTATCTGAGTGGGCTTTGAGCCTGTGGCACTTGAAGTGAGGAAATTGTTGAGAAGATGCTAGAGCAATAATTAAAGCTCTGGAAGACATGTGATATCTGGCAGTTGGGAAACAGGCCCTAGTAAGGAGAAAAAGCTGTGTTGATTGTCCTCATGGTTGTAAGCTATCATGACTCTCCTTATCTTCTCAGTGACAAATATTTGTCAACCAGGGACAAGTAATGTCTGTTTGGGCCATCTGTGAGGATTGGAAATTGGAATTGGAGGCATTTTTTGCATTGATTACAATTCTATTTGAGTGGGTGGATCTGACCCTGGCCCAAAAAATCCTGGCCTTATGCTTGGAGTCTGTTAGAGGCTTGATAGGAAAAATAGGTTTATACTTAAGCCAAGCAAAATGCAGTAGATGTTAAGTCAGAAGCCAATTGAATCGAGGTTAATATCATATATAACTCTTAGCAAAGTTATGCTTACTCAGCACAAGTTTACTACTACATGTTTCTTTTGGATTCATAGTACCTGCTACAAAAGCAGGTGGAAGTTGTAGCCTGTACTGCCTTTTGTTCAGCTCCAGTCGATGCATCAATTGTAGATTACTATAATTTGTTCTTAATGGAATTGCCCTCAAAGACCAGCCAGGAACATCAGCTGGTCCTGGATGCATCAGCATCAGCAGTTAAACTTACTGAGCAATCTAGGCACTGCAAAGTTACACTACTGTTCTGAGAGCTACATTGATTAGCTTGTTTTCTGAATGCAGCTTAAGTTATTGGTCATTAAAATTCCTTTTGTTTAGAGCCTTGATATCTAAGACAACTCCTTTCCCAATTAGAGCCAATTCTGATGACTAGGGTGGATGGCAAAGATCCCTTAGTTTTAAATTATTGTAATCAAGAAAAATGCCCAAAGCACCTAAAGGCAAGATTAAGTCAAGAAAATTGAATCTGCAAAGTATTTTGTTGCTTTTGCTGGAAGGGTGTGGAAAACAAATAATGTAATAAAAGATAATTTCAAGAGAAGTACAATATTGCTTCTGGGCAAAGGTTCAGTGGGCCACACCCTGTTAAAAAACAAGTTATTCAGATAGGAAAGCTGGTTGATTTACATGCCTTCAAGCTGTAGCAAATGGCAAAATTATCTTGTTTACTTATATTTCTGGAGCCCATTTCTGCAAATCCAATCATGCTATGGAATATATTGGAATAAAGTATGATCTTAAAAAAGTAACGCATATATCTAGTTAATTAAATATTAGAAAATTTAAATACAATCGACAATATATGGTACATGACGTATTAAGACATTATAAATCAGCGGTCGCCAACCGGTGGGTCGCCACTGGTGGGCCGTGAGAAAATTTTGGTGGGCCGCAGACAAATCTCATCCCCAGAGCACCCCCACAAAGCAATTAATCCAGGCAGCGCAGCGGGAACCCTCCCCGCCCACTCCTTACCCAGTAAACTTGCCTGCTAAATTGCTATTTTTCCTTTTTCCAACCATCACCTGTTCTGCTGTGCCGGGAGATTTAGATTAGCTAGGATGCAGGAAATGGTTGGATTTCTTGCTTTCTAGATAGTCTTTAGATCTTCAGCTCAGCACAGCCGAACCCCCCTTAGGACTGAAGGTTTGCTTGCAAGCAAATTCAGTGCAGATTCATGGCAAGCAAATTTGAGAGACTGAGCTAGCCAATGGCAGATAGATAAATCACTGAATGATTCTGTGAGCAACTCAATCTGCCTGCTTTTAGGTACAAATTAGGCCACGCCCACAGAACCGGTTAGTGGTCCCTGGGATCTAAAATTATGAGTTTGGTGGTCCCTGAGGTCCAAAAGGTTGGCGACCCCTGTTATAAATTATGCTTGCAAATAGAAATAATCAAAGCAACACTACGGCAGAAAAAATCAAAATTATTGATTATTAAGTATAGTTAGATAAAATCTACCAGTACCTGAACAGAGAGAGCTCTAAATAATAAGTTTACTGCCTACTCTGTTGACATACCATTGAGCTCAGAAAATTGCTGCTTCAGATGGATAGGTGCTGAATACAGGTGAAACAATTTTTATAGTTTGTGGTAAGATTCACCAGAAATAATCCAAACTTTCAAGTCTTGTATTCTCCAGATCAGGGGTCGCCAACTTTTGGACCTCAGGGACCACCAAACTCATAATTTTAGATCCCAGGGACCACTAACTGGTTCTGTGGGCGTGGCCTAATTTGTGGGTGTGGCTTGGTGGTCATGTGACTGGCTAAGCATGGCTTGTATGTAAATGTTATAAATATTTATATAAATATTGAATTTTTTATAAAAAAGAGCAACTTTTACCCAAAATCAGGCAAAGCAGGCAGATTGAGTTGCTCACAGAATCACAGATTCATTCATAGATCTATCTGTCTGCCATTGGCTAGCTCAGTCTGTCACATAAAATTTGCTTGCGAGCAAACTCATAAAATTTGCTTGCAAGCAAACTCACAAAATTAATTCACAACACACCATGCATGTAAATATTGATTTTTTTATAAAAAAGAGCAACTTTTACCCAAAATCAGGCAAAGCAGGCAGATTGAGTTGCTCACAGAATCATTCAGTGATCTATCTATCTGCCATTGGCTAGCTCAGTCTCTCAAATTCGCTTGCCATAAGTCTGCACTGAATAATAGAACCTTCAGTCCTAAGGGAGGTTCGGCTGTGCTGAGCCAAAGATCTAAAGACTAGCTAGAAAGCAAGAAATCCAGCCATTTCCTGCTTCCTAGCTAATCTAAATCTCCTGGCACAGTAGAACAGATGATGGTCGGAAAAAGGAAAAATAGCAATTTAGCAGGCAAGTTTCCAGTAAGGAATGAGTGGGCGGGGAGGGTTCCTGCTGCGCAGCTTGGATTAATTGCCTTGTGGGGGTGCTCTGGGGGTGAGATTTCTCTGCGGCCCACCAAAAATTTTCTCATGGCCCACCAGTGGGCCACGGCCCACCGGTTGGCGACCACTGCTCCAAATGGACTTGAACTCCCATAATTGCCATCTATTATGATTACCACTAGCAATTCTTAGGTTTAGAGTTTTAACATGTTTATTTGAAGAGCACCATTCTATGTTAAGTGGATGCCATCTTATGCAGGAATGGATAGGCTATAAATGTTCTCCAAGATTGTTTACTTTCATCAGATGAAGCAAATCTGCTCAGCTGTATTTTTACATTCATTGAGGATAGAATCTTAAATAAGTAGGAGATCCTCTCAAAGAGTCAGACCTTACTGATTAAGCTGAAACTGCCATATTAAAGGTAGTAAAATATTTTCCTATCTTAGACAGTTGTGATATCAGTTAATATATTGTTTCATATAGATTATATTTGTAAAGTTCAGATACAGCAGCATTCTGCATGCATCAGTTTGCAGTGTTGACCCCTGTGTTGGCAACCAGAATTGTATTTATGCTGTTTGGAAAGCAACTTAACCTGTTTCAGAGAAAGGTCTTTGAATGCTTTGTTTCTTGACATCAAATATTTGCAGTAAGTAAGGATACTGTAATCTAAAATTGTGGTTTACAGTTACCTTAACTGCAGAGATCAGAAAAGCTGAGGCCTTCACCACTATTAATATCAATCCTTTCTATGGTTGGACTGTAGTAAGTGAAAAATAGGGAACAGTTGCCAGGAGAAATAAGAGGATTTGTTTCTTCAGGCCAGGCATACTGAAAGCCTGTCACTCAAGTTTGTATATGCTGTGTTTTGCTTTGCATATTACCCCAGAAAACCAAGTGTCATTACTGTATTGACTGCAGTTCTTGATTTCTCCTGTGAGAGCCCTTTTACAGAATTTAACTTTTTATAACTGTGTATTATAAAAACTATTATTATTACAGATAATTATATGAGTTATTTTTTAGAATCTCAGGAAGGTGTTTCAGCAAGATGGTATTAAAGCTGACCAAATTCTAATCAAAAATTCGTTGATTTCCAACAGCTGATGGGTATGATAAGTACTGAGAGGCTTTTCTAATTGTTTTCCCCACTAGGCGTTTGCTCAGTTTGATCCTGAGGGCGATGGCACAGTGGATGTGGAAAATATGCTGGAGGTTCTCAAGAATTCTAGTGGTGCAAATTTGCAAGGAGAGCTTAGTCACGTAATCCGGCAGATGCAGAGTTGTTCACTTATTCCAGGTAAGAAAAAAGGAAGGAACATGTTCCTGTCATCTTCACTTAAACGATCTTTGATTTGTGCACTGGAGCAATCCTTTCACTGAGGCCTTCGACAGTCCTGGTTTAGATGGATACAGCTTTTAAGAAACGTGATGTTTCAAGTTGTGTATGTGCATGTATACTTTGTCTACTGCCCGAAAAAAAATATTATTTAAGTTCATGAAGCTTTTCCAAATTTCTAGAGAATAGTGGAACAAAATTATATTTTCAATGCCCTTATTTTATCTCCTTCAGTTTTTTTAAAGGTATGGTATCTAACTGAACCTTGCAACTTTGAGCTGGAAACTTTTATAAAAATACCTGAAATTAAGCTTAATATGAAAATGTGTCCATTGGTCCTTCTAAGATGGATTAAACCAAGCATTAGTTTCAATTTAAGGTATTATACAGTGAAACCACTGATTACTTTTTATGTGGATACATAATCATGGATAGCATTTAAATCATGACATAAGTTTATGCTAAGCAATACTATCTGATTCCAATCAGCCAAAATTAACCCATGCATTTTTAGCATTTATGCTTAAAATAACCCTTTCATGAGTTTTACCAGAAATAGTTTTTTTCTCTTTTTCCAGCTCTATATGATTGATTATGTATCATAAAGTTGTTGCCAACTTAGATACCACATAGATAGATTTTGATAATCTGTTCCTAACCTGGTTTTTCAGGTTTTCCAAAGATGCACTCAAAGCCACTATAACCGAGTTCATCTGTTTGACTACTAGTCATCCTTTCTTTCTATCTTTCCCTGCATTACAGTTTTCACCGGAGAGTTAGGCCTTCGCATAATGTGTCCGAAGTAGGATAATTTGAATCTGGCCATTTGTACTTTGAATGAGAACTCTGGGTTGGTTTGTATTCTCAGGATATTCAACATTCAGTTTGAAAGTACCTATAATTTTCATTTGTAGTGAGGTTTTATTAAATTCCCAGAGTGAATATATATTGGAAAGGATATGGTAGAGTAAAATGAGTTTTCCCACCAACTTTTATATTCTTTTCTCTGAGGATCTTTTCTTTTTCTTGCAGGTTTTGTAGATATATTTTCAGACTCAAATGAGCGCCTTAGTCTTCATGCTACTATGATTCTTAGATTCCTGCATCGACATCGTATCACCAGCACTGTTATCCCATATCCAGTCTTGGAATACTTTAACAATATTTGCACTATGCGATCTTCTGTACTAAAGGATTCTTTAGATCGACTACTCCTAAAAGGAAAAGGTATTAAAAATTAATTTTTTATAGATTTACTTTGGGCTTGCTTATTTAAAATAGTTATATCCTGTTTTTCTGTCACTAAGCCTTGAAGGTAGTTTTCAAAATTGGGTACCAATGAAGTCTATATTGAACTGACCGCCAAAAAAATATCTATTTCAATTACAATTGATTCTTTTACATTTGGAATGCACCACTTAAACCCTCCACCCCACATCCCTGTTCTCACTCCTATGTCCTTCATCTCATTGTGGCAACCTAAATAGGGCTTCCAATGCTGATATTACAAAAAAGACAGGCTTATATGAGAGAAGGAATTTGTTTAGAAATTCTCCCATAATCAAAGAAGTATCAGACTGACAGTTGGGATTTATAATAATCTGACTTTTGTATTTGGATTTGAAAAAATTAGTTAGTGGTGTGTTGGCCTATGTGCTTTTCTTCAATTCCCCCAATACAGTACTTATGAAGACAGTGATTTAAAGCAGGATTCCCCATAGTGGTAAGTATCAACCCTCAAGGGTCAATGGGGGTTGACCAAAAGTGGTTCAGGATACCATTATTATTATTATTATTATTATTATTATTATTATTATTATTATTAT